ACATTCTGAATACAGAAGAGATCATTCTAACACTGGGTCTATCTTAATTCAACACAAACCTCACAATAATATTTAATCTTAAAAGATTGGATATGACTATATTACTACTATAATAACCACAAAAGGCTTGCTTTGTTTACATGTAGCTTTTCTTTAGAATCTGTGGCCATTTTCATAAATTAACCCCTACCAATAGATGTAATTCAACCAGATGGAGATTATATAATATGCATTATCTTCCCATGCCAGAGGATTATGAACTATGTAAATATGACATTCACTGAGACACAAATAATTATTTAACGGTCACAGATTTGAAAAGTGCATTATAAAAAAAGTAAAATAAACCTTGTAATATAAACCTTGTAATAATATATATATATATATATATATATATATATATATATATATATATATATAAAAAAATTCCCTTCTCACCCACCGCGGGTGGTTCTTATCCTCTGAGCTCGGGTCCTCTACCAGAGGCCTGGGAGCTTGAGGGTTCTGCGCAGTATCTTGGCTGTGCCAAGGACTGCACATTTCTGGACTGAGATGTCTGATGTTGTTCCTGGGATCTGTTGTAGCCACTGCTCCAGTTTGGGGGTTACTGCCCCGAGGGCCCCGATGACCACAGGCACCACTGTGGTCTTCACCTTCCAGGCCCTCTCCAGTTCCTCCCTGAGGCCCTGGTATTTCTCTAGTTTCTCGTGCTCCTTTTTCCTGATGTTGCAATCACTTGGTATTGCTACATCTACCACAACGGCTTTCCTCTGATGTTTATCCACTACGACAATGTCTGGTTGGTTCGCCATTACCATTTTGTCTGTCTGGATCTGGAAGTCCCACAGGATCTTAGCTCTGGCGTTCTCCACCACCTTTGGGGGTGTTTCCCACTTTGATCTTGGGGTTTCCAGTCCATATTCTGCACAGATGTTTCTGTACACTATGCCTGCCACTTGGTTATGTCGCTCCATGTACGCTTTCCCTGCCAGTATCTTGCACCCTGCTGTAATGTGCTGGACTGTCTCAGGGGCCTCCTTGCACAACCTACACCTTGGGTCTTGTCTGGTGTGGTAGATCTGGGCCTCTATTGCTCTGGTGTTTAGGGCCTGTTCCTGGGCGGCCAGGATGAGGGCCTCTGTGCTGTCCTTGAGTCCAGCTTTTTCCAGCCATTGGTAGGATTTACTGATATCAGCCACTTGGGTTATTTGCTGGTGGTACATCCCATGTAGGGGTTTGTCCTCCCATGATGGTATCTCTGGCACCTCAACCTCCGTTCCCTGTTGTCTGAGACATTCACTGAGCACATTGTCTGTTGAGGCTTTGTCCCTGATGTATTTATGGATCTTAGTTGTTTCGTCCTGGACAGTGGTTCTCACACTCACTAGTCCTCTGCCTCCTTCCTTGCGGCTCGTGTACAGTCTCAAGGTGCTGGATTTGGGATGGAACCCTCCATGCATTGTTAGTAGCTTTCTGGTCTTAATATCTGTGGCTTTTATCTCCTCCTTTGGCCAGCTAATTATTCCAGCAGGGTATCTGATTACTGGCAAGGCATAGCTGTTTATCGCACGGATTTTGTTCTTGCCATTGAGCTGGCTTCTCAGGACTTGCCTTATTCGTTGGAGGTATTTAGCTGTGGCTCCTTTCCTTGTGACCTCATCGAGGTTGCCATTTGCTTGTGGTATACCTAGGTACTTGTAACTGTCTTCTATGTCTGCTATTGTTCCTTCTGGGAGTGAGACCCCTTCTGTGTGGATGACCTTCCCCCTCTTTGTGACCAGCCGACCACATTTCTCTAGTCCGAATGACATCCCAATGTCAGTGCTGTAGATCCTGGTGGTGTGGATCAGTGAGTCGATGTCTCGCTCACACTTGGCGTACAGCTTGATGTCATCCATGTAGAGTAGGTGACTGATATTGGCCCCATTTTTGAGTCTGTATCCGTAGCCAGTCTTGTTGATAACTTGGCTGAGGGGGTTCAGGCCTATGCAGAACAGTAGCGGGGACAGAGCATCTCCTTGGTATATGCCACATTTGATGGACACTTGTGCAAGTGGTTTGCAGTTGGCTTCAAGGGTGGTTTTCCACAGCCTCATCGAGTTTGCAATGAAGGCTCTCAGAGTCCTGTTGATGTTATACATCTCTAAGCATTCAATGATCCAAGTATGCGGCATTGAGTCATAGGCTTTCTTGTAATCAATCCAAGCCATGCACAGGTTGGTGTGTCGGGTTTTGCAGTCTCGGGCAACTGTGCGGTCTACGAGGAGTTGGTGTTTGGCTCCTCTGGTATTTACCGATACCCTTCTGTGCCGTGCTCATGTTTATCCATGTGTTTGCTTATCTTGGCCGCTATGATGCCTGACATGAGCTTCCAGGTTGTGGAGAGGCAGGTTATTGGTCGGTAGTTGGGTGGGACTGGACCCTTTGATGGATCCTTCTGGATTAGGATTGTCCGCCCTTCAGTTAACCATTCAGGGTGAGTCCCACTTTGTAGCAGCTGGTTCATTTGGGCTGCCATTCGCTCATGGAGAGCAGTGAGTTTCTTTAGCCAGTAGGCATGGATCATGTCAGGCCCTGGTGCTGTCCAGTTTTTCATACCTGAGACTCTTTCTTGAACATCTGTCACAGTGATGGTTACCGGGGCTTGCTCAGGGAGGTTGCTGTGGTCCTCTCGTAGAGAGATCAGCCACTGTGCATTGCTGTTGTGGGACGCCTCCCTTTCCCATATGCCTTTCCAGTATTGTTCCGTCTCCAGCCTTGGTGGGTCTGCTCTGTTGTTATTGTTACCCTGCCATTGAGAGTACACCTTAGCTGGTTGAGTGGAGAAGAGCCGGTTAATCCTTCTGGATTCATTCTCCCTTGTGTATCTCTTTAGGCGGCTGGACAAGGCTTGGAGCCTCTGTTTGGCAGTTTCAAGTGCTTCAGGTATGGGCATCTGCCTGTACTTTCTGGGTACTGGTCTTTTCATTGCACCCTTGTGGAGCTCTGACAGTTGGCTCACTTCCCTCCTTGTTACCTTGATTTTAGCCTCTAACCGTCTTTTCCCATGGTGGGTATTGGGTCTCATGGTTGCTCTTATAGCCAAGTATCTCAAGGATCACTGATGCTGAGTTGTAGATCAGCTCATTGGTTTCTGTTATGGTGTTGGTAGGGATCGTTCTCAATGCTGCATTCACATTTTCAATGAGACTTTCAGATGGTACTTCACTCAGCCGTTGTAATTGGCGCCGGGGAGGCCTGGTTGTCATTCGGGTCATGATTCTCTCTCTCAGGTCAGCAGCTGTCTCGTTCAGCTCTGTTTCGCTCATTGGGCCGTGTATCCCCTCACTGGGTGGGGACTTGTAGTTAAGTCCCCACAGTCCTGACATCCGGGTTCCTCCCTTTTGCCGTAGCATTTGTGTTGTATCTCGTCAATCTCAAGTTGTGATAGCAGTTGCCGTTTGCGGATGTTGGAACACTGAGCTACTAGTTGTTTAGCGCTTAGTGTTGACTGGGGATGTCGAAGTAACCATTCCTTCCCCAGTCTTTGCATGTAACCTCTCTCTCTCACTAGGGTTACTTGAGTAGTAGCATTCCAACAGATCCACATTTTCATCTCTCGCCCATTTCCGTCTTGTTCCAGTAGCCCATTTGTCATCAAGGTGCTCTGGTTCCCCAACACCTGACGCAGACCTTGTTTGGCCGGGCGACGTCTGAGCCGGCATGTTATGCAACTTAGTATCTCTCATGGTATGAGTAGGCAGTAGCTTGAAGGGTCTTGCCTAAGGACCCAGACTGGATTCGAACCCTGCCCTCTCGGGTGATATACTGATGCCTTATGTATTGAGCTATCCAGACAGCTATGGCTGACTGGATATATATATATATATATATATATATATATATATATATATATATATATATATATATATATATATATATTATATATATATATATATATATATATGTATATATGTGGATAGAGTACATGATTAAATCCTTGATGACATTATAGGTTACAAATTGCCTTTTTGTTACTGCTTTTTTTAAATCTGTGTTTTTAAAATGTGTGATTAATCTTTGTCAGCATAAACAGGATGAAGACGACATGAAGAGGCTAAAGTGACACACTCCCATTCATGATCAAAGATACGATCTTATTGAGACATGAAGGCACATGGAAAAACACTTAACTTGCAACTGTGATGTATCCTGAACATAAGGTCCTTAAGTAATAGGTTTAGAGAATAATGATACTTAGATCATTTAAACCCATAGGGACTAGGATAAGTACTGATGGAATTAAAGTCACCTCCATAATACCTGAAAAGAAGTTAGTTTGTTCTCACAGCAGATACTCATATTTGCAAATCGCATTATCCTGATGACAAGTAACAAGTTTTTAAGATCAGATAGCACACTAATGTCTTTTAGTAAAGACTACCAAAGCAAAGACATATAGTAGAAATATGATAATAAATTATAAATTCAACTTTAAGAAACAAATAGTTCCACTGACAACATAGGACGTAAAATTTTGCTTTGCTTTTGTCAGTGCTGATTAGCGTTAATGAATGTTATGCAAGTGTTATGCTTTCTGTACAATATATATATATATATATATATATATATATATATATATATATATATATATATATATATATATATATATATATATATATACTGTAGTCGTAAAAGACAGCTTTAAATTACTAGATGTGCTGTAACTCGACAACTCAACCTTTTAATTAAATATTTAAACATTAGGAAGTTTCTCATAATTTTCAATGTTTCTTCTTCAAGAGCATGATTGTTTTAAACTGTTAAATGACATTCCAACAACAGTTTTCTTGATGTTTTGAAATGATAAAAAAAGTATTGGATATATGTGTTTCATGATGTAAAGCTACCAAAATATGCATATCTTAAAGTTTACAGATAAAATCAATTTTAATATAAACCCTGTGTTGCTTGATGCCACAGAACTCCAATCACAAAATAAAATGGTTTACAAAACTTACTTGAGTACATGTGTTGAACCGTTGATCTGCGTGGCTGTGCAGGTCGTGCCTGTTGCCATGATGGATGGCCTGCGATACCTCTTCCTCCCGCAACACAGGATGATGAGGAAGGCACGGCGGAAGGATTTGTTGAGGAAGGCGTAGAGAATGGGGTTGAGCATGGAGTTTATGTAACCCAGCCACAGGCAGGCGGTCCACAGCTGTTCGGGCACTGTATAGCCTATAAATGGGTCCACCACATTGGTGACAAAGAACGGTGCCCAACAGAGGCAGAAACATCCCATAATGATGCATAGAGTCTTTGCTGCTTTTGTTTCTGTTCGCATACGGTGGTTGCGTTGATGGTCAGCAGACTCTGATGTTCCACCCACTCCTGGGCTTGCACTGGAGGTGCCAGGAGTGCAGGCTCCAGCCCCGCCTGCCCGCTGTAGCATGCTGATCTGCAGGGCGTGTGCGCGAGCCGTGATGTAGATCCTCTGGTAAGCCAGCACCATGAGGATCAGAGGGATGTAGAAGGCCACCAAAGAGCAGGTGAGGGCATATGGCTTGTTGACCATAAAAACACAAGAAGTGGAGTTGCTGCTTCCATTGTGGCGCCTCTCCTCAATCTGGGAAATACAAGGATAATATGAAAAACTCACATACCACAAAGAATACTTAATTTTAAAATTAGATATTGATCCTATACAGTTTGAGTTATTTATCAACAGCTGTCAACAGCTATGTTAAACACTCTTCTCTTGCAATTTGTCAGTCAGTAACTTTGCCTAATTATGCCATATATGGCACAGATAAGTTTTTGTTTATCTGAGGAATCTCTTCATGTTGTCTTTTTATACTATCAAGTTTATGTAGCTTTCTGTCAGGGTGTCTATCAGAAGAGACTAACACCAAGATTCTCAGTAATAAATACTCTGCATGGATCTGGTGTAATAGCAATTCAGGCCTGTTTTTCTTCCGAATTCCCAGGAAACAGTTAAAATTGTATGGTGTCATTAAACAGAAAACACCTTCAGTGACAGATTGCTGCATCCTGAGTGCACAAAGAAGCATTATTGTAGATCCTTCCTCCTAGCAGCTGTTGCTCTACATACCGCTCCTACCATACTCAATCAGTGCTTACATTAGTTATGGGCCAGACGACACAGAAACCTCAGCACATGCGCTGAGCAGACAAGATGAAATCTCAAGTCGGTGAGCGCATCACTTTAAGGAAAACCACATGACTGATACCGTTCCCGTGTCGTGTAGATGTGGCCGTGCAAAACTGCACTGATTAGGGAGAGAATGTGTCGACACGTTTGTGGGTTTTGTTGGATGGAGATACTTTGTGTTCTTTGCTTTGTGTTGGTTTTTGGCTTCGTATTTGAACACAGGCATGGATCAACCAAGGAAGAGGAGATTTTCTCCCGTGTGGGATAATTTTGATCTTAAGGACAATGGAAAATAAGTATTCCGTTCTCATTCCTCTTTATATATATATTTTTTTTCAGATTATTAAAATTATTTTCCATGGGATATTTGAGTTAGTTTACATGGATCAACTTTTATTTATATTGTAGGTGGAAAATGTAGAATTTGCTCCCAGGTTTTTTCTTACTGTAAGCTCTTCCACAATGCTGAGGCATCTTTCTGGTGCATCTCAGACAAAAGAATGCAGGGTCAGCTGAAGAGAAGAGAGCATGACCCGAGACTGCAGACCATGTTGAGAGATTATGTAAGAGTAATCAAATATCGATTAGTCTGTAATATTGCCCTTACTTTGTTAAGTCAGGAAAGTTATGTACTGGTTGAATTTTGATAAATTTGTACATTCCACCTCATTCCATTTCTTTTTATTTGAGCTTGAACCTGAGAATCATTAAAAAAAATGTCTACTTACTTTTGTAACAAAATCTTTTATTTATATTTTACTTTAATACAGCAAAAGTGGAAAGCATATTTAGTATGAGAACTTGCACTTCTGAACTGTGATTTGCTGTGATATGAGACATCTTTTGAATGGAACAATCCATTGAAAATTCCACATTTTCCCCTCCTCATTCACTACAACCCAACATCCTCATCAATTCAAATAAAATCAATTTTATTTGTATTTCACATCTGCAGTGCACTCAGCTTAGGAAAAAGAGATTAATAAAAAATGAATCTCCATCCCCAGATGGAAGGTTGTTTCTTTTCAGGAAGTGGTCTGTTTAAAAATGAAATTGTAAAGATTTTGTTTCTCAGTGTCTGTTGACACTGTTGTCTCTTGCTTAAAGGGACACAGCAGTAAGACAATTGGGTTATAAACAGGATACAACACAATAACTTGTTCACAGCCATTCAGGATGGACTAACTTTTAAATAAGGAATGGCTTATGGAATTTGAACTGGGAAAATTTTTATTTAATTGACCCCCAACCACCCCACTGGAAACAGTAAAAAAGAAAGAAAGAAAAAAATCAACCTTATTTAATCTTTTTTAAATGGTTTTATATAGAAATTCTTCAAGAAAAATCTAAATCATCCAATATTTCTCATATCTTCAATAGTTAATTACAACATAAGTTCAATAAAATATCTGGCAACTGCTAAATTACTGTTGCCTCGTGGAATATCATTACAGAGCCCAAAACCACTCAAAACTTGTTGACTTGTCTTGGGATTGAGGGTGAAACCCCTGCTTCTCTGGTCAGTCGATACAAGGAATTCCTGAAAACAACAACAACATAGGACAGCACAACCAACTACTGAGATGTTGCAAAGTCTGCCTCTTGTCACCTTAGTCCTGATTTGTTTTGCTGAGTTTCAGATCTTTGGTTGGTGCCAAAAGTGACTGGCTTCACAGAATAATCAAACAGCTCTAATTAGACCCGCAGAGATCTGCTGCCACTGAATGGGGCAAACTTTGGATTGCAGCTGCACTAAACTCATGTTTGTGTGTATTTGAAAAAAGGGAATGGAATATAGGTGTGTGTGTGCGTGGGTGTGTGGGGGTGCGTGGGTGTGTGTGAGTTCTTTAACTACACTTTGGCCATACTGAGCGGCCCAGTCTCCCACTTGACGAGCAACTCAGACGTGATTTCTGCTGGCAATAAGGCAGAGAAACTAGAGAGATTTACTTCTGACTTGGCAACAGTGTGTAGCATTTTTAACACACAGATCCTGAATTAATTTGTCAGATAAGTATTTCATTCATACTTATAACAAATAAAGCTTAGAAAATTATTTTTATTGTGTAGCCAGTGTTACCTGACAAAAAGTATTTGTCTGTCTAACGGATTAATTCTTGGCTGTTTGGGCTTTGTTTTTCATTTGTGCTTTTTGATCATTTTTCTTTTTTTATTTTAGGTTATTTCTTTAATTTCATTATCAAACATTGTGGAACATAAAGCTGATATGTTGATCGTTCTCCTTTTTCTGCTTTCATAAATGTTTTGTTCTTGGGGAGTTTCTTCACTCCACTGTCGCTACATACAGGCTCAGTATAAAGGATTGCTGTAAAGTCAGTTACTAAATGCAGATGTTTCCTACTAATTATGTGCTTGTCCAGAAGTGAATGGTGCAAGTAACTTCATTCAGTGAGTAAGATAGAAACCTTTTCAACTTTGAATATTTAACTAAGCTAACCTACATAAAACCGGATGTACATTTCAATAAGTTACTTTAAATGCTAAAAGATCAACTTAAATTTTTTAATACTACTATTACTAATAATAATAATACAAAATCTGCTTTTAAATACTGCTTTCCTTCCAAGAAAATATTTTGATTCAAGAGTAACAAATGTTTTGGTTCAAACTTTTGGCTTTTCAAATTAAATAACAGAAAAATGTATTGCTAAAACAAAATACTTCATTCAAAAAACATCATTTACATTCTAGTTGAAGAAACACAAACTGACCGCCTGTGTTGGCGTTGTTTCATTTGTTGGCATGTTTATGTTGTTTTCATGGCAACATATGAGGCATTTCTTCAGTCTAGTAAACAAAGATCCATGAAACAACAATTAATCTCATTGTTGCATGTGGACACTAACCACTTATGCAAACAATGTTCTGAAATAGTTTTATTTGCGATTATTTTTTATAGCTTTGGTTGCCTGCAATTGCTTTGGTGCCCACTGAGATGCTCAACATATTTGACAATATATAAAGCACATAACTAAGTAACCTAAAGTCTAAAATAAATCTTTTTCCAGCTGTAATTCGAACTCTTGCAACTCACCAAGTGGTCAATACCGATGCTGTTCCAGCCCTGCATGATGGGCAGGAAAGAGATGAAAGTGGGAATAACCCAGCAGCCACCGATCATTAAAGCCACTCGCATGGGCGTCATTTTGTTCCGGTAGACCAGTGGCTGGCAGCAGATAGCGTAGTACCTGCAGAGAGATCATTGCAGGAAAGAAAACTGGATCAGCTCATATCAAAAGATTTAGCAGGTTTTTCAGTTCATCAGAAGCAGCCAAAAGAAATCAAGCTGCCAATAAACCAACAAATATCAAATTAGGCTTTATCCCAATGACAGTAACCCAGCTTTTTAATCAAAAGTACTTTGTCCATGGAAAACTCCAGAAGATGCAGTGTGCTGCTCTGACTTTGTTTATTGTTCTATATTTTAAATTTCCTCTCTTGGGATGATTAGCAAAACTATGCTGCAGGTGAATTTGAAAAAGCATTCTAACACAATACCCATGTTGCATTAAATCTTTACACAGAAAAAAATCTCAGAACATTGTATTGTTGAAATATTTTGAATTCAAGAGAAACAAGATATGCTTTTTCTGTTGCATATTGTGGGTAAATGCTCGTCAAGGACAGAGGAGATGCTTTAATTATTTAAAATATGTGGATGGAAAGATTTTCTGACTTAGAAAATATTTTAACCCTGTTTCAATGTTACCAGTTTTAAATTATTTTATTCTGAATATGACATGCAATGAACTTTTTTGCTGTGCTACAAGCAAGAACAAGATCATAATTATTACCAAACTTGCTTATAGAGGAGAGAAAATAACATTGAATGATACATTGCGTTAAAGAGCTTGTAAAGAAATTCTGCTTCAGTTTGAAATCTAATACTACAAAAGTTTAACTATGTGCAGACCAGTGTTGTATAAAGTACTGAAATCTCAGAGTCAAGTAAAAGTATAGGTAACTCTCCAAAATATGACTTTGGTAAAAGTCCAAGTCACTGAATGAAATGTTCCTTGAGTTAAAGTCTTAAAGTATCTGAAATGTCTTGTACTTAAGTATGGAAATTACTGTAAAAATGGATGTACTCAAGTAATGTGATGAAAAGTGTAAGTAAAAAAAAGTAAAACAAGGCAAATGCTGTTTGAATGACATTTTTTATATTTTGGTAAACTTGTCAAATTCAAACCCCGAATCGGACGCCACAGATTGACGTCATGACTGTCTGAACCAAAGTCCAAAGACTTTGGAGGCTCTCTGTAATTTGGTCACGAATCCCTTTTCTGTCTTGCAGACTGTAAGAACAAACCAGTTAGAGGCAGGTTAGATTATAATTTCTGCCTTTACCCCTCTACATCTATCCCTCCATCTTTTTAGATGTAGGTTTTATCATAGACTGAAGACGAGGGTTCATTGACAAGTCCAGCCACATGAGACGAAAAAGAAAAGTATTAGTCCCCGTGCTTTTTTTAAAGACGTAGTCTTTAAAAAAAAGCGACAAGGTTTGACCTTGCCACTCGAGGGGCCTTTTTTAAAAAAGACAAAAGTCTTTAAAAAAGAGGCCATGTCACTAATACTTCCCTTTTCCATCTCTTGTGGCTGCATTGTCAACGAACCCTCTTCTTCAGTCTATGCTAAAGCCTACATCTACAAAAGTAGATGTAGAGAGAGGTAAAGGCAGAAATGATAATCTGGCCTTCCTCCAAGAGGTTCGTTCTTACAGTGAGCCTGCAAGACAGAAAAAGGATCAGTAAAGGTTGTAAAGGGCTTACATTCAAAGACTCTGGTTCGGCCGGTCATTGACGTCAGTCCGTGACGTCACAGTTCTATTTACATACAATCTGTGACGTCACAGTATTTAATGTAGGCCCTTTATGGGTGACCAGACGTCCCCGATTTTCCGGAAAAGTCCCTTATTTTAGCATTTTATGAATGAGGGGGAAAAAAATTCCCTTTAGATTGTTATTACGATGGCCGGAAACTTCATTGCCCTTTTCCACCGGCTCGGCAGGAAGTGGTAAAAAGTGTGTAGCGCACAACCATAGCACTTACGGTAGCTGCTCGCTCCTGTTAACGTTACAGAGAAGAAGACGAGCGTCGCAGCCAACAGCCAATCAACTTCAAGAAAAGCAGCGCGCGCTGCCAGAAAGACAACAAGCTGGAAGAAGAGAGCTCGAGTTTTCACCAGCTGACCTGATTCGGTACGTGTGAAACAACGTGTTTTGTCTGAACTGGGCTAATCTTTGCCGTCATGAAGATTTGGATCAATAACATAAAGCTAAGTTTTTATTAACAAACACATCAAGACGACGAACAGCTACAGAATTAGCCAGAGTGAGATAAATCGCAACAGGGTGATAAATCATCGCAAAGGAAGATGTTTTGCAATTAACTGGTCATCGTCGGGTCGTATGTTCCAAGTGTAAAGCAGTGCTTAAGTGTTCCAACAGAGGGTGCTGTTGTTTTCTCTAAATGCTAGCACTATCGCAATTCTGACATGTTGTCCTGCCGGGGACACCGTAGTGCCGGGGATTTTTGTGCGTGAGCTGCTGTATTCCTTACGGTGTGTTTACCGCCTGTAAGGTAAGCAGCGGCTCTGCTAGCCCGGTGTAAGATATACATTACATTAATATAATGAGCTGGTGATGTTTGATTATTTTGTGAAAGGAAAACGATTGAATGCTGACGGTGTGTTTACTGCCTGTAAGGTGGACGAAATAAACGCGCCAAAGTCTCCCCACAACGAATAGCCGCAGGAAGAACATTAATGACAAACTCAAGAGAATTATGATATGAGTGGTTACTAAGAAAGAGTCCAGAACAACCAAGTCCAGAAAGTAAAAGTCCAAGGTCAAGGTGGGCTTCATGTGAGATGACCAAGGAGGAAAGCAAATAATTAAAAAGTGAGGCTGGAATTTATCAGAGACCTTTGGACAGAAGAGACAAAAGGTCCATCAGCTCTAAGGTCACAGACACCAAACCTCTAAGAAGTTTGAACTACCATCATTTTTAATTGAGCCAGAATTTATAGAAATATTACTACTGTGGAGAGACGCGGTCCTGCTGTTATACACTGCTCAAAAAAATAAAGGGAACACTCAACTGTGTTATTTGAGTGTCGAGTGTTCCCTTTATTTTTTTTTTTTGAGCAGTACATTTGATTTTTAATGTTTAAGTATTAATAAATATGTAAACCATAACTGTCCCAGTTTCTTCATTTTATCTTGATAAATTTGCTCTTTCTCTATCGCCGAGCGAGAAATGTCCAAAGATTTAGTCTTGGAAATCTGGTCACCTTTCATGCAAATGAACATTTCCTGTATGTCAAAATGAACTTCACTTCAGTCGTCAGATTATCCTAAGGATGGATGGAAAAAGTAAAAGGGCCCGCATGCAAATGCCATATGTAAATAGTACTGTGATGTCACCTCCACCTGATTGGCTCATCTGGTCACGTGATCCTGTTGCATATTCAAAGCCCTAATCATACGTCACAGAATGACGTCATGACGTATGAACCAGAGTCTTTGAATGTCGGCCCTCTGCCACTATTTGGTCACTAATCTTTTTTCTCTCTTGCGGGCTGTTTGTAAGAACGAACCAGCTAGAGGAAGGCGAGATTATCATCTCTGCCTTTACCTCCCTCTGCATCTGTCCCTCCATCTTTTTAGATGCAGGTGCTATCACAGTCTGAGGACGAGGGTTCGTTGACAAGTCCAGCCACATGAGACGAAAAAGAAAAGTATTAGTGCCTTGGCCCTTTTTTTAGAGACTTAGTCTTTAAAAAAAGACGTGGTTTGAGTTGCCACTCGAGGGGCCTCTTTTTTTGAAGACTACGTCTTTAAGAAAAGAGGCCTTGGCACGAATACTTTTCTTTTTCATCTCATGTGGCTGGACTTGTCAACGAACCCTCTTCTTCAGACTATGCTAGAACCTGCATCTACAAAGATAGATGTAGAAAGAGGTAAAGGCAGAAATGATAATCTAGCCAGCCTCTAACTGGTTAGTTCTTACACCCTGCGAAAGAGGAAAGGGATTAGTGTTAATTTTAACTCTTTAGTACCTTTAGACATTTAACCCTGAGTAACACTAACTTTTATTAGTTTTTTTATTAGTTTCTATTCAGTAGAAACTTACTGAATAGAAACTAATAAAAAACTAATAAAAGTAAAAATACCCATGTTGCATTAAATCTTTACACAGAAAAAAATCTCAGAACATTGTATTGTTGAAATATTTTGAATTCAAGAGAAACAAGATATGCTTTTTCTGTTGCATATTGTGGGTAAATGCTCGTCAAGGACAGAGGAGATGCTTTAATTATTTAAAATATGTGGATGGAAAGATTTTCTGACTTAGAAAATATTTTAACCCTGTTTCAATGTTACCAGTTTTAAATTATTTTATTCTGAATATGACATGCAATGAACTTTTTTGCTGTGCTACAAGCAAGAACAAGATCATAATTATTACCAAACTTGCTTATAGAGGAGAGAAATAACATTGAATGATACATTGCGTTAAAGAGCTTGTAAAGAAATTCTGCTTCAGTTTGAAATCTAATACTACAAAAGTTTAACTATGTGCAGACCAGTGTTGTATAAAGTACTGAAATCTCAGAGTCAAGTAAAAGTATAGGTAACTCTCCAAAATATGACTCTGGTAAAAGTCCAAGTCACTGAATGAAATGTTCCTTGAGTTAAAGTCTTAAAGTATCTGAAATGTCTTGTACTTAAGTATGGAAATTACTGTAAAAATGGATGTACTCAAGTAATGTGATGAAAAGTGTAAGTAAAAAAAAGTAAAACAAGGCAAATGCTGTTTGAATGACATTTTTTATATTTTGGTAAACTTGTCAAATTCAAACCCCGAATCGGACGCCACAGATTGACGTCATGACTGTCTGAACCAAAGTCCAAAGACTTTGGAGGCTCTCTGTAATTTGGTCACGAATCCCTTTTCTGTCTTGCAGACTGTAAGAACAAACCAGTTAGAGGCAGGTTAGATTATAATTTCTGCCTTTACCCCTCTACATCTATCCCTCCATCTTTTTAGATGTAGGTTTTATCATAGACTGAAGACGAGGGTTCATTGACAAGTCCAGCCACATGAGACGAAAAAGAAAAGTATTAGTCCCCGTGCTTTTTTTTAAAGACGTAGTCTTTAAAAAAAAGCGACAAGGTTTGAC